TCTTCATCTTCTTCTTCTTCCTCTGCCTTGAATTCTCGACCGTTGGAACTTTCCCCTTCTTCTTCTTCTTCTTCCCTTTGCTTCAAGGCAGAGTGTCCCATTTCCCTTGACAGTCCCCCACAAGCTGGCGAGTATATGTCATATACTCCCAGCTTGAAAAGAATCCATTTGAATCTGTGTGCACTTAGACCTTTGGTGAATATGTCGGCTAAGTTCCTGTCTGTGCACACATATTTCAGACTAATCAGCTTCGACTTTACCCTTTCCCTGATCACATGGCAGTCGATTTCGATATGCTTGGTTCTCTCGTGGAAAACCGGATTCTCTGCCATGTGTATGGTGGACTTGTTGTCGCAGAAGACGGTGGCCGGGCCTTGGTATTCAACATTCAGGTCCTTCAGCAATTGGGTGATCCACTGTATTTCGCACGACAACTGGGATAGAGCTCGGTATTCAGCTTCGGACGAGGACTTCGAAACGATTGCCTGCTTCTTCGCTTTCCAGGTAATGAGCGAGTCCCCCAGAAATGTACAGTATCCTGTAATTGATCTTCTCGTGTCGGGGCAGGCTCCCCAGTCCGAATCACTGTATCCTGTTAGGGTGAAATCGGTGTTTGATGCGAAGAACAGTCCCTGACCTGGGGAGTTTTTGAGGTATCTGAGTATCCTGTGTGCAGCCTTGAGATGAGATCTCTTGGGTTGTGCCTGGAATTGGCACAGTTGTTGTACTGAGTATGAGATATCAGGTCTTGTGGTGGTTAGGTAGCTTAATCTTCCAACCAGGGACTTGTACTCATGTGGGTCTTCTGATTCTTCATCATTGAATTGTGATAATCTTGTCTTCATGTCTGAGGGAGTCTTAGCTGGTTTTGAGCTCAGGAATCCTGTGTCGATCAAAATGTCGAGGCAGTACTTCCTCTGGGTGACTGAAATCCCAGCACTGCTCCTCGCTATTTCCAAACCCAGGAAATACTTTAACTTTCCCAGATCCCTCACTTTAAATTCTCTTGATAGGAAAGCCTTTGCTTCCTGAATCATGTCCTGATCATCTCCTGATAGTATTAAGTCATCAACATACACTAGGATGACAGTGATCCCTTGATTTGTTTTCTTGGTGAAGAGAGAGTAGTCTGAGTAGGATTGGTTGAAGCCAAATCTGATCAGGGCATCTGTGAGTCTTGCATACCATTGTCTTCCAGCCTGTTTGAGGCCATAGAGTGATTTCTTTAACTTGCACGCCTTGCCAGGTATTTCCATTCCAGGAGGTAACTTCATGTATACCTCCTCTTCTAATTCTCCATTCAGGTAAGCATTGCTTACATCCATCTGGCTTAGCTCCCAATTCTTGACTGAGGCAACAGCTAGGAGGGTCTTGACAGTGTTGATTTTTACCACTGGGGAGAAAGTGTCTAGGAAATCAACACCATGTACTTGTGTGAACCCCTTTGCAACTACTCTGGCTTTACGCCTCTCAATTGATCCATCAACAAGAAGTTTTGTTTTGTAAACCCACTTGCTGCCTACCAGGTTCTTTCCTGGTGGGGCATCCACTACATCCCATGTGTCATTAAGTTCTAGGGCTGTTCTCTCATCTCTCATAGCCTGTCTCCAGTGTTCTTCTTTCACAGCTTCATAATAAGATTGGGGGTCTTGGAGATTTGTGACTGCTAGGGAGAAATGCTTGTGCTGCTGGCTTAGTTGGGAAAAATCCATGTGGGAAGAGATTGGATACTGGTATTTATGTGCAGCTGCACTTGTTCCCAAGTAGTAATCCTTGTGCCAGATGGGTGCAGTGGTTTTTCTGGTTGACTTTCTTAGATTGTGCTGAGTTTCCTCAGGTTCACTTGAGGTATCTGGTGCCCCCTCTTCTTCATCATCGAGAACTTCCTCTGAAACCTCAGCATCTTGGTCATCAATGGTGTCAAAGGGGATGAACCCAGAGGAACTTGATGGGGAAGAAACAACATTAGGAACAAAAGGAACAAATGAATTATGATCTAAATGCATGTCTGATGGCATATGTGCTGAGGTGGAAGTTTGAGGGGATGAAGAAGGGTGTTCTGGTGAGGCTTGTGGTGTGTTTGGTGAAGCAAAAGGGAAAATGGTTTCATGAAAAAGCACATCCCTGGAGGAAAAGGGTTTGTGTGTTTTGAGGTCAAAGAGTTTGTAGCCTTTGAGGCCAGGGACTAGGCCAAGATAGATGCATTTCCTGGCCCTTGGCTGAAATTTAGTTCTGCCAGCTTCTAGGGTGGAAGCATAGCATAGGGATCCAAAAACCTTGAGGTGTGAGTAGTCTGGTTTTTTGTGGTAAAGTCTCTCAAAGGGTGTTTGGTTTGATAGGATGGGAGTAGGTAATCGGTTTAGTATGTGCACTGCATGAAGAATGCAGTCACTCCAGAAATGCAAAGGTAGGTTGGCTTGGATTTTTAGTGATCTGGCTATGTTTAGGATGTCTTGGTGCTTTCTCTCCACTCTCCCATTCTGTTGTTGTCTCTCTACACAGGACATTTGGTGGTTAATTCCATGTTCTCTAAAGAATTCAGTCATATGAAACTCTTGTCCTTGGTCACTCCTAATGGATTTGATAGTTTGATTGAATTGGTTTTTGATCGTAGTGTAGAATTGTTGGATGATTGGTCTGACTTCAGACTTTTGTTTCATCAGGTATGCCCAAACAGCTCGGGAATGATCATCTACTATGGTGAGGAAATAAGAGAAACCATCATAGGACTTTGTATTGACTGGTCCCCAAATGTCAGTGTGTATGAGATCAAAAGGGTACTGGGAAGTATGTAAACTGGAAGGAAAAGGGGCTCTCTTTTGTCTTGCAAGATGACAGACCTCACAGTGATTAACATTGTCCAGAGGTAAGTCAACATTACACTTTTGAAAAATCCTAACTCTAGAATTTGAAAGGTGGCCTAATCTTGCATGCCATAGGGCTGTTTCTTCTGTTTGGTTGAATGAGGTGGCTGCTGCAGTAGTCTTGATAGGTGTGTGGATGGTAGGAATGGTGGTCTGGAGTTGGTAGAGTCCCTTAACTTCTCTTGCAAAACCAATCCTCTTCTGTGAAGGAAGGGCCTGGATATCACAGAAGTCGGATTTGAAGGTTAGTGAAATAGGGAGAGCTTTTGTGAGAGTGCTAACTGAGAGTAGATTGAATGTGAAACTTGGAATGTGAAGTACATTCATTAGGGTGAGGTTTTGGTTGATCTGGACTGTTCCAGTATGACTGACCTGGACTTTAGTGCCAGTGGGCAGAGTAACAAAGACATCATCTACTGGTTGGTAGGATGAGAAAAGGGACAGTTTGCAGCACATATGATCAGATGCACCAGTATCAATGATCCATGTGTTCATTAGTTCTAAATGTTGTAGGGAAGAGAAAGAAGATAGTGTGTATTTACCTGCATTGTTTGGCATGGGGGTTAGATGCCTTGACACTGAGTGAGCTTGTGGCTGAATTGCAGGTTGTGGTTGATGGCTCCCAGCAGTTTGTTGCAGTAACATCATCAGCCTGTTACAGTCATCAGCAGTGAGCTTCAAAGTTGTCACATTGTTTGATTTGTGGGAGTGCTCATTGTCTCCACTAGGGTTGTCTGAGCCTTGCTCACTGGGGCCACCATTGTTGATTGCTGCTGCTGCATAAGCTTGCCCAGGCATTTCTCCTCTCTTCCTCTTCAGTTTCCAGCAGTCTGTTATGTTGTGGTTGGTTTTCTTGCAGTAGTTGCAGAAGAGACCCTGCTGGTTGTTGTTGGTGTTGTCATTGTTGCTCCTTGGGTTGCCACCTCCAGGGTAGTTCCCCTGGTATGTGTTTGTTCTGTTCCCATGAGGGTAATCAGATCTTTGATCCCTTCCCTTGCTTGAATTCACAGCTGCTAGAGCTACAGAATCCACTCCAGTCACTTCCTTTGTAGGCTGTTTGCCCATCTGTCTCTCAAGCTTGAGAGCATGTTTGTAGGCTAGCTTCAAGCTTGGTGCAGGATCCATCAGCAGTAGCTGATTCTTGGTGAGTTCAAAAGAGTCACTTAGGCCAATGATAAAATCAATGGTGTGGTCCTGTTCCTGAGACTCCTTAACAGCTGCATAGGTTGCACAGGACATTGTGTATGGTACACCACCACATTCACAAGCAGGTATGGACTTAAACGACAGATATTCAGTCCATAGGACTCCTAGCCTGTTGTAATACTCAGTCACATTGTTATCTCCCTGTTTGCAGTTGGCAATTAGCCCTTTAACATGAGCCAAGCGAATGGAGTCAGCTTCTCCATATCGCTCCTGAAGATCCTTCCACAGATCTTGGGCTGTCTCGTTATCCATAACAGCTTCAGCTATGGAGTCGAGCAGAGAATTGAGTATCCAACCCATAACGTTGGTATTACTCTGATCCCAAGCTTCATAGTCAGGGTCGGTTTCTTCAGGCATAGGTAATGTACCATTAATGAACCCAAGTTTCTTCTTGGTTTTTAAAGCTATCCTCATAGATCTACTCCATACATGATAGTTAGATCCATCGAGTTTTACTGAGATGATACCTTGTGACAGGTTTTCGTTGGGGTTGACGTAGTATGGGTCGATTGGAGGTCGTGGAAGCGGCTGAGGATTTGCTCCTGCGACGGCAGCAGCTCCTGTTGTAGCAGAGGAGGTGTCATCCGTGTTGGTAGCCATGGCGGCGCGTTTGCAAGGTCACTGAACCCTAGGTGAGGTGAGCCAGAGGCTCTGATACCATGAGAATAATTGGAAAGAGAAGGCAGGAATTTTGTGAAACCTTTTCTGCATTTCACTGGCAGCTTAGCTGCAGAATATATACATCAGCAGGACAGAGTGCCTCTAACGGCCTCATCCTCTTGTCAAGAGACAGGTGGCCCTATCTATTAATTACACGTAATATTCACAGGCTAAATACTAAATATGTGCAGTAAAGTTGGGACGGCAGCGTATTAGTCCAAACGCTGTTCTTCATCTTCTTCTTCTTCCTCTGCCTTGAATTCTCGACCGTTGGAACTTTCCCCTTCTTCTTCTTCTTCTTCTTCCCTTTGCTTCAAGGCAGAGTGTCCCATTTCCCTTGACAGGGCATTAGAGGGCTTTATGCAGGATTCTCTCCAGCGGTTCTTGGTTCCACAGTCGCATGGCATGGGGTCTATATTTCTTCTTGTAAGTTTCTCTTAGATTGCTGTGTTCAATTAAGCGGGGTCAAAATGCTGAATGAATATGTCTTTCACTGCCTGCATAGATCTGTTAGCCCACCCGATACATCGTGCTAGTTACATCTGATTAAGTAGGGCAGAAGTTATTCTTATGCCTCCTCTGAAGTTGATGTAGCCTTAAGTGACTAGGAGATAGTCTTACTTGAATAAGGTCTTCATACATATATTTTGTTTTTAAGGCTTACTTGGCTGATAGACAATGATGAACATGGAGGGTTTTCTTTTTCCAAAATCTGTTGTAGTTACAGCAGAGCTAAACAAAGATATTCAAAGGACAAGAATCAAAGTCTGACCCCTCTTCTTCATCTTGCATCGGCGGCAGAAGCTGGAGGTTTGGTGAGTGCAAATTGAGATCAGGAAACTGGTGCATACTGTGTATAAGTAGCAGAACATATGCCCTTATTCAAGTAATGCTAGGTCTTAAGACACGGAAGATAAAAGGGGGGAAAAAAGGGCTCATGCATTTTTGTTGAAAAGTAAGTGGCAGGATGCCTAGTGTCATCAGGCTGTTCTTTCATGTCTTCTAAATACATATAATCTGCTTTTGGTCTACGGGGGTTGATTACTAGATAAAATATGCTGCAATTTTCTGTATACTTATTCCGTTGTGCCTATCACGCTTTCATATGAGTATCCTTAATGGAGTTGATAAGCTAATGCATTTGTAGCGAGCAATTATATTCCCTTGTGCATCATTAACTGCAAAGTGGGGATATTGATACTGTACGTTACTGCATCAGGTTTCCTTGTGCACAAATCCTATCTGGTTGGTAAAGACAAGGTTCCAGTTGCAAACCCATCATCAATCTTCTCGGCCATATTCTGGACTTTATGGTTTGTCTAGTTTCTTTGATTTTCACAAGCTATCCACATTGCCTCTTAGTTATATCTGATCACATAAATTCAGTGCCAAAGTTAGCAACTGTTGTTAACTTCCAAATATTTGTTGCCGAAATTGGGTTACTACTCATCTGATATGAACTCAAATGATTTGAGCTATGTAAACATCTGACTTCAAGTCGAGCTCGTTCTGTCATTTGCCCCAGCTGTTTTGTTTTCTAGCTTGGGTGAACAATGATAATGACCAATGACTTTGTTTAGGTTCCGATTGGAAGACTGAGACTTCAAGTTCATTTCTATGCTACTCGGTTTGCATTAATTATGGTTGTGAACAATGCAGTTAAAATCGTGCTTTAAAACTTAAAAACTTACGATTTTACGCTTTTAGGTCACCAAAACGCTTTCGTTTCCATATAAAAACTTAAGTGTATAAAATCGGATTAAATTGCGCTTTAAAGCTTAAAAGCTTACGGTTTTACGCTTCTAGTTCACCAAAACGCTTTACGTTTTTACGCTTTTAGTTCACTAAATGAGTATTCTTTTCATGAAATTAATTATAAAAAGTATATTTTAAAAGTAAATCACCAACAATATGATACATTTGAGATTAAAAGATACATATCAGGTACTTGGATACATTCTCAACTTCAATAGAGTAATCTAATTCACCAGCTAGGCTTTTCTCAAATTCATTAGCATAGAGGGAAAAGTGGTTTATTGTTAAAATTTATATTTACGAACTTATTATTAAGATGCTATAAGTTGTTTTACTTTAGGCATGAATCGCATGTATTTATTAACTTATCTGTGCATTCATATTTTGCATAGCATATGTCCTACTTAATAGTTTTTTAGTTATTTTTTAGTATGCGTAAAAAACTTACGCTTTTACGCTTTGATTATACGCTTTACGATTTTATCCCTTTTCTGCTTCTAGGTAGAATCGCTTTTTTGACTGCATTGGTTGTGAAAATTTCTAGTATTCTGATATAGTCAGATCTAGACTAGCAGTAATATTTTGTTTTGTCGTTTTACGTGCTTCATGTTAACAACCCTAACACTTGTCATGGATTTTTACTTGTGATCAATATCAGATGCTTTTAAGACAATCACGAGAGAAGAAGGATGGAAGGCACTATATAGAGGACTTGGTCCTGGGCTTATTTTGGTGAGGGCTTGCTGCGGACTTATGTACTTTTCTGTATTTCATTCTATTGTATTTGCTTAAACATCATGTAATGGTCTCAACTATCAAGACTCAAGAGATTGTTTCATTGGTTTATGATCAAGCAAGTTGTCAGCTTTTTAATTCCTTATGTTGGTTTTGTAACCTTAATGAATCCTTTGCAACATCAAACTTGTTATGATATATTCAAGCAAAATCTAGTCACTCATTTGTTTAATAATGTATCTTCATGTTTTTTTTTCATTGCAATATGGTGATCGATGAGTTTGTTTTAAATTAGTGTAGTAACTAATTATTAAAAAAACTCGATGGTTTGGACCGAACAACCCGCAACCCGACCTGTTGTAACCCGCAATCCGATCAACCCGTAACCCGATCGACCCGCAACCCGATCAACCCGTAACCCGATCGACCCGCAATCCAATCGACCCGAACCCGATCAACCCGCTTGACCCGCAACCCGATTAACCCGCAACCCGACTGAACCCAACCCGAACCCTCCCGATTGACACCTATACTCATGAGTCATGCCCGGTAGTTTTCTGTTTGGGATTAATTTCCTCAACCTATTTCTCGATTTCCATATCAAAAGATCACCCGTTCACCTAATCTGCAGTGAAATGTGGAACGGATTTGCTGATTCAAAATCGTAAGAGAAGTATCAGATCCGATTCAAATCTTGACCAATAGGGGTCATGTTGAAGAAAACAGAATTTTCCTCCACAAGGGTCGCTTCTTGGCGCCATAGTTGGACCCATCACCATCGTCTCTGCCTTTCTCGACCAACGGGGACCAGTCGCAATATTTCGCTGTCAATTAACCGGGTCGCGGTAGAAGAATTAGCATGCTAAGTGTCTGGGGAGGATTGATTCAGCAGGCGGTCGAACGGGTTTGGAAGTCGGAAAGTCAGATAGCATAGCAGAGACGCCGATTACTTAGATCTAGAAGAGGGAAGTTCTGTGGAGGACAACCAGTGGAGCTACTTTGTAAGTCTCTAGCTCCAATAGTTCTTTCAGATAACCTTTTTGCATGATGATTTTGTTTGGACTTCTCTTTATTGGAGGACGCACAGCATGAATGTTGACTGCACAACTCACATTTAGTTATTGGGTGTTGAATCTAGCTAATGCTAGCCGCTAGGTAGATTAGCTTGTTAGAGTTAGTCAATAGAGTTGTAATACGACATTGATGGGAGAAGTAAATTATAAATTCAACACTTATATACATCCAATACATTCTGATCCATAATAGCTATGTCAGGAACTGGTAGGAAAGAATCAGAATGTATTGGATGTATATAAGTGTTGAATTAATGATTGGATTGAAAATAATCGAATAAGTTACTAATCGATGCTTAAATCCTAAATGGAAATAATCAAACAAGTTAATCATGATTAGGCATATGGACAATCCCATAAGATCAACCTTGCTTCTTCTATATCAATACATTCTTCTTTATGTGCGATAATGCTGAGGATTCATATCCTTATATATTCACATAAAAAAAGATTACAGCTCCATAGTTCCCACCATTTATTTGGTATTCACCCCCTTGTCTCCTTTGAGATTAAATGGGATAGACATGGTGGATAAGGTAGATAGCTATGGTTATGGCATATAGAATTTTTCATGATGTAATGCTTTTGGAATCTTTAGATTATTTGTTTAGCGTGATTATATATGATCGATCACCAAGTTTGCTGAAAGGAGCTGTTGTTGCTGCATCACTTTCATCAGTGAGGGAAATTGGTTAGAATAGATAAGACCTGATGGTTGTGCCTAGTATGCTACTCTAAATTGTTCAGTAAAAACTTAATTGGAATGGAACAATAAGGACATGTTGCTCTGGTGCTGCATTTGCTGTATCCCAACTTGGTAGATGAGTTGAATGATGATAGGATTATTTTGTATGCTGTAAATGTAACTCCGATGACCTGAATCTCAGCATCTATAATGATTCTTCTTCCCTAATACGCTGGTTTGCAAGGTAAGCGCAGCTATAAGGACACACGTATCCAAGATGTAATGTTGACAATACTCCTGTTAAAGAGGAAAATAGTATGCGAGTATGTGATCCTTTAATTCTGCTTATAGTGATGAATGAATGTGAAATGGGAGGCACTAAGGTCGATTATGACATCATTTACTCTCAGTAGAGGCCTCTAAAGTAAAAGGATAGTGGTCATCCATAACACAGTATTTTGTAGATGGCTACCAATTGAGTTGTTCATGAATCCATTAAGGTCATGTGTCATTTTTTGTACTGCTCTCGACTACATCGGCTGAAAAACTTATCCATGAGGATGATCAGAGGACAGATCCCTTGAGTAAAAGCTGAAACAATGGAGGAAAATAGAGAAAAAGTAGCACAAAAAAGGAACAGAGAAGAACCGGAGCCAGATTTAAGTAGTAGGAGAAGAAAACACAGAATTGATATTTCCTTTCCAGTCAAGTTGGTGGCCGATGCAAACAAAGCCTCTAGAAATTTGAAACGCCGCAGCGAAGCGCGGCACACAACACCCCCTAGTTACTTGTTAAACATGCAATGATATTCCACTCATGCCCATTTCCTTTGTGAGTTAGCCTATCGTAAAAAAAATAAAGAAAGAAAAGGTGGCATTACTCATTTATTGTCTCTCTATGTTTTCCCCACCCACTCCATAACCATCCATCAGCCTACTCTCTTTATTCATTAGTTCATCACCCAATAATTATTATGTCTATTACATGTGTTGTTTGTTTGAGAAAAAGTGACAATTCATCACACGTAAGGAACATAGAGATAGTTAAAAGAGGACAAATAAATGGCTGACCCTTCATTTGGTCTAGTATTTAAGTGGAGAGGGTTACAACTCCAAATGGGTTTTTGTTTTTTTTTTCCCATTCCCTTTCCTTACATGAGCCTCTTTTGTTTAAGGTACACGTGAGTCGTCGGAATCAAATCATACCCAAATATTAAATGAGTATCAACTTACCATGACCATATCTTCTTTCTGTAAAGTTAGTGATTTAACTAGTTTGTGAAACTCTATAGCCCCTCTTTGAAGACCGGTTAGTTAGCACCCCAAACTTAGTCAATGTACCCATACATGTTCTACATGTCAATGAAATTACCGTCTAATCGAGTTGTAATGGCTAATTAACACCCTCTGGAATATCTCCGTAACTATTCATATAGCATAATCATTGTTAAATTTCTTGAACAAAACATGCGTGTTAAGTAACTTGAGAGGGAGAGGATGTGACAATATAAATTGAAGCACAAAAGTTTAAGCTCTTTTTTAAGTAGGAGCACCACCATCGAGTCTGTTGTTTTCAACATGTGTGGCTAGGGCTGGAAATTCGGTCAAACCAGAAACCGGCCAGTTTAAACCGTGTCGGTTTCAACTGAAAACTGGGTCCCAACAAATCCAATCCAATTTGCGGTTATAATGGCCACGGGCCCGGTCTGATTCGGTTAAAACCGAAAAATTGGACAACAACAAATAAACAAATACCAGCCCAGCCCACTAATATGATATCCCAGCCTAGCCCTAAGCCCACAGCCCAGCCTAACCCCCCACCCCACCACCTCGAACCCTAATCGACCTCCTCTGTTCTCTCCCCCTCTAACGGTCTGACCCTCAACCTTCTCTTGTTCCCAATCACTGACCCATTGGCCACCACACAAGAGGCATAGGAGAAGAAGAAAATTCGACCATTGGCTCCCTCCATCCCGTCGCCGACCATCGCCACTCCGCTACCAGAACTCGCCAGACGCCAATCGCCTCCCTCCATCGCCCGCCGTCCATCATGTATGATCTCACTTCTGCTAGGTCTTCTGCTCTCCAAATTCCAAGCGCGTGATGGCGATGGTGACGAAGGTGGCAAGGTGATTAGATCGATCGAGACGCGACAACTGACAACATGCATCCCGTTCCCGGCTCACGTGACACCAATCGCTTCTCCAGCTCCAACTCTTCCCGCCTCTCTAACTTCAATCGCTCAAAGGTAGAGCGAGCCAGAGCAGTGCTTGAGGGAGAAGAAGGAGATGCTTGTGTGTATTTGGTTTGATCTAGAAGAGGGAGAGGGAGAAGAAGAATCGCGAAGGTAGATGGGAAGGAAGAATAGCGAGAGGAGCAGCGGAGATGGAAGTTGGGAAAGTAGGGAATATGGTTTGTGCGGTTGGTAGGAGAAGGAGAGGGCAATTTTTTGGTATTCAAACGTCTGCGTTTTGGGTTGGAAGAAGGTGATCCAGTTTTGGGTTGAAATCGGATTCAATCTAGTCCGATCACAGTTTAACCGGGTAACAATCCAATCCCGATTTCGGTCGTGGAGTTGTGCAATACGGTTTTAAAAAATAGGGTCAATCCAGTCCAATTTAAATCGAACCGGACCATTTCCCAGCGCTATGTGTGGCAATGGTTGGAGGATATCAAGAAATTGAGAAATTTTTGGGGGAGTGGAAGGGAAAACATAAAAGAGAAGCTAGAGAATGAAATCCCCTTATATATCACCTTCACTTTATGGGAAATTGTCGTAACATTATCAGGGAAATTGGATATTCGAAAATGAAAATCAAATTTTGAATTCCAAGTTGATCAGTCAAGTAACAACGCCATAGATAAAACCACGCTTGCTTGAGTGAGAGAAACATATCATGCCAAAGTCAGACTCTAGGGTGGTCTTCCAAGGGGTAGGCAACTAGAACGAAGACCCTTAGAATAGCCAAATATATTGAAAATAGTGAGAGGTCTTTGCACATCACATGAATGAAAGCGCCAGAGATCAACGCAGCGAAAATTTATGTGTGCTACCAACTTGAAATTGTTATTGTAAGTCGACACCATTAGCTTAGGACAATTGACTGTCACAAGCACACCATCAAGCCGTCCCCTATGGGATTGTGGGCATATCGTTCATCAATGACTAAATCAAAGTAGTTACAATGTGGATGTTTTATATTATTTGTTAGGTAACCAGAGCGTGAAGCGAGAGCGGGAACGAGAGTGCCAGCGCGTCGATTGTCAACAATTCAATAATAAGAGCGTGAACAGAGCGCCAATATTATATTATTATTAATTATTTTCTAAATATATTTTAAATAAAAATTATAATAAAGGATAAAAAATATGGCCTACCTCATTATAATCTAGTAGTTGTAGTTTCAAATTATATGAAAATTATACAATGTTGGGGTTTGGGTTTTGTAATATTGGGCCGGTAAAATTATAAAAGCCTACCAAATAATTAAACCCTCTTCGTTATCGTCTTCCTCATCAATTCAATTCACTCCTGTTTGCGTAATCAAATCCCATATCACTCCTATTTCAGTTCTATCTGTCTCCCTTCTTCTAAGTTTGGAATTGGATATCAATATTTACAATCGCTCTCGGCAATCAACGACAAGAATCTTCTCTTCTTAGCATCTTTGATCCCCATTAGCAAAGCTCTTGCTTCTGCTTCCTCACGTTTGTATACCCCCAATTCCTTTCTCATCATCTCGAAACAAAATCATCCGTTCCAATCCCTTATAACCACTTCAAGGCTGATTCCCCCATTACCCAGAACGCTTGCATTCGTATTCCAATTTTTTTTTTTTACCTTGCATGCGTATATATACTAAAATCAGATTTATCATCGTCATAATACGCTCCCTACATGTCCGCTCACCGCCTCCATCTTACCAAGCTTCCTCGGGCAACCGCTGCATGTCCGCTCGCTGCCTCAATCTTTCAAGTCACTCATAACTCGTAACCCCCTATTTTCAAGTATACCAAAACAGAGCAACAACAGGGAAAATCAACACAGCCAGGAATGTGTTTCGTCGAAAGCGGCGTTTTTAACTCAAGCTGTTGCCGACGAAGGATTGTTCGCCTTTTGCCCACCTTCGTTGCTCCTGGATGGTTCCGAGTTATGCAAAGACCAATCGGGCTGAGGGAGTAGTAAAGCCAGGGTATGAGATTTGGAGGAAGACAATTATGAATGACTCTTTGTTTCCATAAGTTTCCCAGAAAGGCAAAACACAGATGCCATGCCAGGGCACCGGCTCTTCATTATTGATGACTCTATCTGGGAAAAGCAGGAAGAATGAATGATATACCAGTACTCAAAGGAATCACGCTCTCCCAAATCCAATTCGCACTCCAAAAATAAAGAATCCGCAGCGAATTATTAGAAAAACGCGTTGCCGCTTTAGAGCGGGATTGTGGGACCTAAACCCACGAATTGGGTGACCTAAATGATTTGCCTAGTTACGCTTGTTTAGAACTCATTACAGAGTCATACTACAATTACAATAGACAGAACATCACTCGCCAACACGTATGTTTTTGATGGGAATGGATCAGGTCAGTAACCTTATGGTGAGTAACTATGAGTAACCCGTCCACATCAGCATCCTCTCTCTCATGGACAGCCTTTAATTTTTCCCTCTTTAATCTTTGACGGACGATTTCTCGCTCATTTTAAGTCGAAATTTAATTTTTTTTGCACAGTTAGATCATATTAATTGTGCTCTTCAAAATGATATCCACTTTAATATATTTTTCGAACAAAAAAAATTGAGCAATTTTTTACCAGCCTATACCAAATGGTATTGACTGGTATTGAAATAAAAGCATACCTATGTTTTGAAAAACGTACCATGGTGGTATGAACAAACCATTACTGTAGGATGGTTGAATACATGATAGTAGAAGTATATTAATTGTAATTTACGACTTTTAACATTGTATACCACACAATACCACCCCGTACCAGGATGGTATTGTATGGTATTGTGTGGTATTTTTTGGTCCTGTAATTTGTTCACCCAGAAATTTGTAGATCCAATAGATCATGATGAACTCGTCCCTTCTGTGCAAACGTTTCTAAAAAACGAATTGAAAACGAAGAAGATACCATACAATACCACCCCATACCAGGGTGGTATTGTATGGTATTGTGTGGTATTTTTTGGTCTTGTAATTTGTTCACCCAGAAATTTGTAGATCCAGTAGATCTTTTCCTAAAAAAATATTGAAAATTGATCTCATTTTGTAGAGCACGGTGAACTCGTTCCATCTGTGCAAAAAAAATTAAAATCCGAGTTAAAACGAAAAAGATATGAGTCAATTAAGAAAGCTAGTGAAAATAAAAATAGCCTTTAATTTTCCATTCTTAGATATGGATTTTCTAAATGAAGGGTCCAGATTTGGTTATTGATGGGTGCATAACCCATGGTTATGCACCCTATCTTGAGCCTGTTTTGATAGATCGATTTGGATTTGGTTTTTGTGTTTTGTGTTTTGGATTTCAAATTGTCAAATCATTTGTTTGAATATTAATTACATTTGGTATTTGGATTTGTGCCAAATTCATGGGGTGATTTCCAAATACAAGTCTAGTGTATTACTTACCAACTTTAAATACATTCCAACAACGAGGAATTTTACAAAGTTTTAAAGCATTGGTACTTTAGTTTTTACCATTATGGTACAACTTCAAGTTGTACATTTAACATTATAGTACAACTTGAAGTTTGGTACAACTAAAAAAAAAATTAGTTCAGTACAACTAGTGATTTGAAATTCCTCCTAACAAAAGATTGGATCAATTTGTCAAATTTTAGATACTATAGTGTGCGCCATAATATAAAAAGGTACCAAAAAGTAATTTTACAACCAACCAAATTTTTAACCTTTTGTAAAATTTTAGAAATTTAGGTACTAAATTGCTAGAAAAAATAAATTTGGGTATCAAATTATCATTTACTAAAATTTGTAGTAACTGACAAAAAAATTAAAATTAATATTAAAAATCTGAAATACAAACAAATTAGAAATGAGTATCCAATTTGAATTACAATATTACATGTATTTGAAATACATTCATTTTAAATACATGTATATCAAACCCTATCCACCCTAAAGTAGCCATACTAGACAGACGGCAACATGAGAGTGGAAAACTGCTATACTGATGCTTAACAAAATTGATGGCGATTGGGGAGTGAAAGGCTTTTGGGAAAAAGCATGGAGACAAGTTTGGTACAAAGAGAATGGTTCATAAATTGTGCGTCGTGTCTTGCTCACAACACCAATCATCAGACAGCTAGAAGAAGCAAAGAAGTCGAGTAAGAACAGACAAGAAGAGTATCTTCCCAAGATGTTCCCAGAAAGACAACAGTGTTCCTCCTTCATTTACTTTACACAAACAGGCATTGCCAATTTACACAGGAGATGCATCGACCATTCAGAGAAAGGCTTAGGGTTCTGAATGCTCCTCACACTCCATTTTTCTCCTCCTCTAGCAAACGGTTGCCACCACAAAACTGCAATTATTTCAAACTAGCGGTAGATGGTGACAAATTTTTCAGCTTGTTTGTTACACTTTATCGTCATGGAACCACCACCTGGTCTCCTTTGGAGATCGGCCATTCCTACAGTTCTTTACATAGCGATCGTTGTCTTCAGGGCGTTGCTGCAGCCACCAGAGAAAGCAATGTCATATCAGCTCACAGTACCATAAACCACAGAAAGGAAGTAGAGATACTTGTGAGCTACAGATCAAACCTTAACAGTTGAGCTTGACAGCATTGAGAGGATACTGATACAAACAGAACTAACAGTCATGGCAGGTGACCAAGAATCATATAATATATCTGCAAATGAAAATAACTGATTGATGTGAGTCTCTACGTGACAAAACTACCCACTTCATTTGCATTAAAAGGGGAGGGAATAAAAGGAAGAACTTGATAAAACCGGCAAAGCAAGTGAATATATATGGTCAAGCCCTTTGGATATCTTTTCACAAAAATCCATGGATGCATATTGCAAGTAGCAGCTGAACCAATCATCTTTAGTTTGATAAATGTAGACAAAAACGTGCATTAATCACATTAATTATCCACATGCAGAAGCACACCAAAATCACATTCTGAGGGAATCCATCCAGCTTATGCAGCCATTCAAAAGCAGGATGAGATAAATGAACCATTGAGACCCCAAAATATGAAGTGCCAGGTCCCTGACATCAGCACAAAGCTTCACTGAATCATTATCAAGATATTCATTTCATAAGATGCATCTCAAGACAGCGGTGAACTGCAAGACATTTTGCCTTGTATTGCATGCAAAGCCAAAGAGAAGGCAAACCAACTCTCCCCATATTAAAGTGATTAGCTAAGATCTACAAGCTAAGTTGAACTTGATTTTGATCTTGCAGGTCTCAGTAATTTAAGAGGATAATAGTCACAGTTACTCCAGAAAAAAAAAATGTAGATAACTAAAATATCTACAAAGGGGAACAGAAACCGTGCACACCAAATCCAGTTGATACTCAAAGCAGAGATAGTATCAAAGCAATACCCAGGGGCAAACCTATCACTTTCGACATAATGGGAGGACAAATTTAACTTGGTCATTAAGGTAAAAATTTATTATTGATGTAAACCCAAGGCCAAGAAGGATAGAACATCTATTTTGAAGACATTGAAAGAGAAAGTGGTCCAGGAAACTGAAGTTGGAATCAAAGTGAAGAAAACATTTATAGATGCTTACTGGTACAACACAAACACATTCGATGATTATGATGAGCAAGTAGGAATCTTTTGGTCGTTGGTTTTACCTAAACAGATATGGCCGTTACTGTAAATGTGAGGGTGCAATGGAGCTGGATGGAGGAATATAACCTGCTCACAGTCCGTCCAAAAGTCCAAGCAAAACGAACATCACAAACACAGCATAAACAACAACTACAGAGAAGAAAGAAATGATGATGCAGAATCAAACCTGGGGAGCTTCCATTGGGTAATGCTCTGGGAAATCAACTTGAAGTTGGTAGGTGTCATTAGCATAGAGGGTTCCAGGAGCTCCAATTACTTCAATCACCCACCTTCCATTTCCAAAACCACCAATAGACTTATAATAATCTAACGAAGGAGAGCAAATTACTAATACTCATTCAACGGAAAATAAAATTACTACTACCCACAACTAGAATTGTCGGAATTTGAAACAAACACAGAAACTTAAAGAAGCAGTCTTTCTTAAGCAAAACTATAAAAGCAGGCAACTTAGAGCTGAAATTTCAATGTTTTTCATCAAATGGAAGGATGGGGAAAAGAAAAAGACGAAACCTTTGGAGATTATCGGTGACTTTGTGTTTGAAGCCAGCGGGAGGATTGACCTGCCACTCCACCAACTCCTTCTGAAGCCGATTGCAGGCAATTTTACTCAGTGCCTGAAAGTAACCGTCCATTATCATCCAAGAGAGAAACCCGCAGACACCGAGATCAATTTCCGAAATGAAGAAGAAGAAGATTGACAATTCATCGAGTTAGGGGATGGAAACAGTAGGAGTTATAAGATAGGGAAAGACCTTGCGAGCGGTGGCGGAGGAGCTGGTCATGGCGGAGAGCGCTGCCGGGAGGAGAGAGAGAGAGAGAGAGAGAGAGAGAGAGAGAGAGGATTTCAATGCTGCAGAGTATGGAAGGGGAAGAGACAAATAGAACTATAGAACCTAAGGTTTTGAGGGTACGATCCAGACCCACCTTTTTTTATGTTACTTTCGCCCGACCTCTCTGTTTTATTCTTCAGTTTTATTGTCCTTTTATCTCTGTTAATTAAAGGTTCATTGATGGAGGGTTATTATTTCCGGTATGTGTCTTTACTTAATAACTAGTCACGGGCCCGGCCAGTTGGCCGGTTTCATTTCGCAAATTTTCTAAACAATAGTATCAATTAGTATATATACATGTTTATATGATAATATAATAAAAATTCAAATTCAAATATTCAAATATTGAAACATTCAAACAGATCGGTAGTATAAGAGAATCTAAATTATTAAAATACTTGAAATGTTCAAAAGGATTAATATCATAATTTTTCCTGCCATTCTAATTGATGTATCAACTAAAGGACAAACTTCATGCAAGAGAAAAGAGTCCTAAGAATTTTTTTAAATTGCCCTTCTATTATCTTGTAATCGTCAGAGATTATTGCACGTTTTCTTTTGGACTTGTTTGTGTTCCCTCCGCTATGAGTGGCATCATCATCTCCCTTAATAATTACATCTTCGAGTCCATTAGTGACAAATTTATTTTCATTCTAAATTGTCTTTTTCTATTGCATTTCAATAGTCTCTCCTTTTTTTCCCTACATTTCATTGACAACCAAAAATTAATGGTAAAATATTTACCAGTACAAATCATCTTTTTCATTTTGAGTAGAATTTACCTCGTCTAAAATATGAATAAGAGACATGATTTGTGCCTTGCTCCCCATTATCGGTACTTTAATCTACCCCAAGACTCCTTCTATTATCACTCTAGCATTGGATCCATTACGTCCACTTTTAGCAATCTCGGTATCCTAGCATAAGTGATTAATAATTTAATATACATTGGAATTGTATCCTGATACAGTTGCATGCATGTTACCGGGAAATAAAGGAAAGTTCCATTAGAGTTTGAAGATATAAATAACATTTGTTTCTCTGGAAATTAGAGTACAACTAAGTATCATTTACGTACGGTATAAGAGATGATAGATTCAAAAATGCTAGACGTATACAGTTGATAGCCGAACAATTAGTAGGAAATTAAATGCATTACAAAATCAACATGTGATAAGTTGACATGGTAGGTAGGTTAATTATATAATAATCCGCGGGTGCACATATCAAATATGCTCCAAATCCAATAAAGAATATTGTAGCCTTCTAATTAATATGGATCCACAATTTCATGCAAGTAAAATTTACCTCTATCAAGTGCAAGAGATCGTTTGTGTTCTGTCTTCATTTACCTTCCCAATCATGTAAGTACTCAATTGTTGGGTTATAGATGTTGTAATTTGCGAGTTTGATGTCAAACTTTGACACTATTCTCTCAATTTGTAGGAGATGGACACGTGTAATTTATCTTTATTTGGAAATAACTTTTCAGCCGGTATTTCAAAAATTTAAGCACTCACACAATCCATAACAACAAAGTCAACCTCGACTATTTTTTTTTACAACCCAAAGGTAGATCTTGAATATGTATAATGATGCATACAGTTTATGAAATTATTTTATGAAATTTTTGCTTCACGTTAAACTATGGAATATAAGTTACATGCACATATTTTTCCAAAAAATAATTTCCCAAAATCTCGTTCAGCAATTGATTTAGTTTCAGCTTAAAATCTATTGCGAAGACATCAACTCTATTAGGATCATTTCTAATATATAGTAGTTCTTATCAAATCAAACATGTATTGAACCTCATACCAATTAGGATTACATGTAAATGTAATGAAAAGATCTAGATATCCTTCCCATCTACAAATTGTCATAGCATTCTGCAAACTTTCACATTATATCAATGATTAGATGTATCTGAATCACCTTTCAATTCAAGAATGCAAACGAACTTGGTAGTAATGTTGTCAGAATTTTGTTTGGTTGTTTTAATCAAATTCAAAGCTTAACTTCTGCATATGCATTAAGAACATAAGGTTGGAACAACTTTCCACCCAATAGCAATAAGTTAGATTCTTCCAGTCTTATTTGGAGCCTATAACTATAAAAATCACATCATGCCACATTTTTCTCATTCATTCCATATGCATCCTCACTGGCATAAAATGGAATATTTGTGTGTCATCCATCTCAACATGTGAGAATAATATGAGATATTGCAAAGCTATTAAATTTGGATGATATATACTAATTTGTTCTAGTTGATGACTTTGATATTGGACAAAAATATCATGAGAAAATGTTTGACCTCAAAAATTAAAGGAATGATGTCATTTGTAGATGGTAAATCATATTCACTACAGTCCGCTTCTTTTTTAGCAAGCAACTTAATTTCAACTTGCTGAACTGTGGTGCCATTCAATATATCCCTCGCATATTGAGATTTCAATACTAAGATATTACTTCAATCTACCATCTTCTACAATTGTTGAATAATTGAATTGCGCAAAGGAATTGAAACTGGATCATGGAGAAAATATCTAACCATTTTTTGAGTTCATTGCCAGTGTCATATTTGTAGAGTTGAACAAATTTTGGTATGTTCCTTTCAGTTGGCATTAGGCTACGGATTTCATGATATATTTGACATCCAGTTGAATAAACATATACTTTGTATCCATCATATATAGATCAGTGCAGTTTACCTCTAATAGAAATCAATGTGAATACCCCATTATAACCTTAGATATGTTCCAAAAAGTGACGTCTAGTTGAAGTATTTGCATCCAATAGCATATTCAAAACCTCTGAAGACTGCTATCGAGGAGGGAAGTTCATTTTGCGTTATCTACAACACAATGAAAATTTTGGTTGATTGGAATTCCTTGTGGGTTTGGTACTTTCACCCTTCCACATCTTTGCTAATATCCACATTTATGCGATGAGTGTCCTATACCAACTCTTTAACAACTACAATATAATTAAAACTCCAATATAAGAAATACATTGATAAAAATTTAAAATTAAAATAAATGAGGAAAACTCAGATGCTATAAATATCAATAAACCTTAAATTTATTCATAACGCATCACTCGAAGACGATTATAACGATTTTTGGCAAGTTTGATGGAGCTTACAATCTATTTCTCTTGGTTTGTAAGTTATTCATCTCATTTTGAAATCTTGTATAGAAATCAGTAAAATAAGCAATCTTTTTTTATGAAAAAGTAAAATAACCAATCTTAGCAGGCAATACAAAATTTGATAACATATAAATAAAAAATTAAACATGTATTCAATGGATTACCAGTAGGTATGTTGACAATTTTTTCATATATACGCATTTTCCTTATATAAAGAGCATATATTCTTTTTGCTAATTTTGCCAATGGTTGACCAATTCTATTCAACTCTACATCAATTTATGAAAATGTAAAGTTGAGGGTAATAATTTTGTAAGTTCAAGCAGTGTCAAATAGTTAGAGATTATAAATAATTGATATTTCATCAATGTTCATACTATTTTGTGTTTTCGATAACAAACATTAAATTGTAAGATGTACATAGTTATGCTAATAATATTATTTGTATTTATATTAACTTTTAATGATAGAATTGAAATCTTTTTTGGTTGTTTGGATAATTCTCATGCATAATATTTCTTCGATGCATGCAGAGAACTACTAATAACATAAGCAAAATAGTTCTGCCATAGGACGGGTTCTAGCATGAACATGAAAACCTTAATAAATAACTTAAATATGGTTTATAGTTTCTAATATAAATACAATAGTAGTATAAATTGTCACTCTACTATTACATTTTCTCAAACCTGCCACAATACTATTTTTCACGTCAAATTTATCCTTCTATTATGAATTTTTTTTTCAAACATGCCCTTCCATTAGATTTTCCATCCAAAAAATCGTTAAATCTGGTCAAACATGATTTGACTGAAAATTACTAATGACCCTAACTAATTAAAAAATAAGAACAAAACAAACTTAAAACACACCACCACCAACCCAAATCCTTGCAAAGAAATCCTAATCCCTAAAATTTCTAATCACTTGTCTACTTTTTCCTGGGAACCTTGAATAGTTAACACAGAGAGGGAATTGGGGAATTACTTGTGCTTATCATAAGTATAATAATAATAATCAATAAGCCACAAATGATGGGTTGTAAATATAAGCGAGTATAATTAAGGGATGTTTCTGGTAGAGGCCTCAAATGATCCTCTCGTACTCTAGCCCATATTAAATAAAAATAAAATTGACCAAAGGACCCTCCCGTGCACTGCCAGGAATAGTGAAAGTAAGGGGGTTCTAGTGTGGAACCTCTATATTGTTATTGGTTGATTAATGAGTAGAGCTATTCGTGAGCTGCTCGGTTTCGAATTCGATAAAAGCTGGTTTGATTAAAATAAAGCTCGACTCGTTAATAAACGAGCCAAGCTTGAGCTCTACCTTGTTCGGCTCGTGAAGCTCGTGAACTAGCTCGATTAGGTGGCTCGTTTAATACACCTCATGAACTGTCTCGTTTTGAGCTTATTAGATGTCCCAACATTGTAACTAGAGAGCTAACTCGACTACAGTTTATGAGAAAATCAATCTATATTTTATGAGTTGGTTTGTTAATGATGCATATAATTATTAAATTGTATATGTAACCTCATATGGTGTTTAATACATTGAGTATATGTAAGCAAATACGTCTCATATATATGCATAACATTAGGTAATAACTTGTATCCAGGGGCGGAGCTACAGCAGGGCTCGGGGGGCCTCGGCCCCCACGAGAATCTTGAAAGTTACGTATAAAATACTCAGGCAATTTACGTATAAATAAAACGAAATGGTTAAAAGGGTCTAGTATGCATTAATTTGACAAAACAGACTCCTAGCGTAGAGGAAGGTTTGCTACTTTGCTCTCACTAGGTCCTTGGTTCGATTCTCATGCAAAGCAAGTATTTTTTGCCAGATATTCCTTATCGATTTCTTTTAACTACTCCAGGGATGCAATACTTTTAGCAGCTTTAAGCATATGTATATACAACAACAATTTCTTTTAAATAC